AAACCAAGTTGGGGGCTTTAACCTGTCGCTTTAAAGTCCTATAACTCTACAACATTCAAAGATTATTTCCCTATTTATTTGCACTAAATCATATGAATTACATTATCATTCATACAACCTCATATAATTCTTTCCAATTGTATAATTCTTTCCAATTGACCCAATTCTTACATGTTCTTACAACAAATATTAACATATGCATAGGTCAAATCAAGAAGTAAATGAAGTTTTAACATCAAATCAAGAAGTAAATAGAAGTAAATGAAGTTCATGGATTTAAATCATCACAACTTCTGTCAACAATAAAGATCAACACTCTCCACAACTTTCATCCAACACTTTAATTACTTATCATTTTAAGAAGAAAGATAAAAAAATTTACTCAGAATCCATGGAGAAAATAAAACCATACTTTAGTTTAAAAGTAAAAATCACTGTCAAACCAACAGGAAGTCTCGATTAAAACCAAAAGTAATTCAAAATAAAAGATAAAAACTCATCTCAAATCCTCCACCAAACTCTTGAAGTCCCTCTCTCGTTTTCGTGAGCCTACAACCCGAGTTCGCCATCTCTCCTCGTCGGAGTCTCCTTTCTCGCCAGTGAAGCTCGAGCACCCCTCCGGTCTCCGAGTTTCGTCTCCAGAAGTCGGTCGATCTCACTGCTACCTCCCTCATCGGCTTCTTCTTTTTCTCAACCAACCCTGCAAACCTCGCTGTTTTTTCTTCATCCTACAGGATTTTGCTTTGCCGGCGTTGTTTTTTTGCTGGAGTAAAACAGTAAGGAGGAACTTCAATTTTTTTGGGCTTTCCCTCCACATTTCCTTCACTTTCGGCACTCACCATTGAGAAGCTAACATCTGCCACCTCGCTGCCTCGCTTTTCCGGCGATTATACACCTCGCCGAACCACCACGACGTTGTTGGACAGCAAGCATCGACGTCATTCGGGAGGATAAAAGGGATTTCTACCTCACGTGCAAGCTCCCGCCGGACTTCTTTAGACTTCGTGCAAATCACGCGATGGTATAACCCCTCTTCCCCTTCGCATTTTACTCCATAGCCAACCTTAGGTTGTAGGAGCGATAAGTGTGCGAGTCCGATCGCCTACACGGGGTGCGTGCACCGGTGTGAGCCGACGCGGCGACGCACCTATGTGATGTATCACTTGTTTTACTAGAGGTGACCTACAGGATTGGATCCCCCTTTGCGCAGCTAATTCTCCTACAATAGCTAAGTGAATCGTATTTGACTTTTAGCCCTAACACAAAAATCTTAGAGGTTGGAGCTCCCTTCGCTCCCCTTTGCTTTGGTTGTCTCGATCTTTTAAAAAGATTGAAATGTAAGTCTTTGCAAAATGAGAAAACGTGAGTCATTAGCTCATTTTGTAAAGCTCAGAGGCATCATGAAATCAGAAAGATCGTTGTCGCTAGCCCGTTTCATGACGAGGTGGAGAACTTCCCCCTTGGAGATCTAGAGAGAAGTTCCCCACTTGCCTAGCCAAAGCAAAGACAGCAATCACCATCTTTTTATATATTGATCCTAGGTTCCTCGGTGAGGTCGTTAGCATGAGAATGACCCCTTATTACATGTGTATGTTTGCATGTTGCATTTTGCACGTCACTTTGCTTTGACCGGTTGACCCGCGAGTACGTCACTTCACTCCGACCAGCCGCCCCGGCCCGAAGAGTATTTAACTTTGTTCCGATTGGCCGGCCCGACCCGACATATATCCCACTTCATTTTAATTGGCTTCCTTGAGCCAGTTGGCATGACACTTTGACTAGACCGGATTCCTCGACCCGTTCGACCTAGTACTTGCACCACTATAGTGTCTTGCATTTGTGTTTGCATTTTTGCATATTGTAGTGCATATGTATGATTGTGTTTTTGCATCCTATTTCACATTTGTTTGGCTGCATGATTATGATCATATGCTTGAATTGCACATTCTCTTTGGGCCCCTGCTGTCATTGCATGTCTATCTTTTACAAGTCACTGCCCTATCAGCATACCTCTAGGGACCGCTGCCACCATGACATGCCCACCCTTTTCGGGCCCCTGCCGCCATGGCATGCCTACCCTTTACAGGTCACTACCCTATCGGTATACCTCTTGGGGTCGCTGCCCCACGACATGCCCATCCTCTTCAGGCCGCTGTCACCCTGACATGCCTATCCCGTTAGGTCGCTGCGTCTTCGACATACCTCTTGGGGCTGCTACCACTACGGTATGCCCAACTTTGTTTGAGTACCTGCCCCATAGTATACTCATCACTTGTGTTTTGATCAATCATTTGTATTTGCATGTTCACATGAGTAAGCGAGCCATACCCGTTAGGAGAGTGACTCCCGTGTTGGTCACAATGCCTTAACGAGCATTGCTTGTCAGGTCAATCCCGATGAGCAATGCGAGTTAAGTCATCTGGACTGACACGAGTATAACTGTGCTAAGAATCCAATGGATCTAATTCATGTCATCTTCTTTCATAACATCCTTTAGATTTTTTGGATCTTTAGAATGGGGCCGGTAAGATGACCCCGTTAAAGTCATACCATACCCATACCTACCCTGAACTTAGATACTAGGTTGACGCACTTTTCGTTAGATGATGTGTTGGGCTGGGTTTAGGATGCTAAGTAGCATTTTCGACACCTCGAACTATTGTTGTGTGTTGTGTTGTCTTGCGCTAGTCAGGTGTCACATTATCGATTTTTTTTCGGTGTGCTTGCATGCTTCTTGTGCATGATAATATATTAGGGCGATCTTCTGTAGGTGTCGTGCCTATTTATACACACTCACACATGTGTTATTAGGGGGAGCATGTAATGATTTCTAATCCTTTGCTTGCAGGCGCTCTTTAGCTCCCCTAAATTATAAGGCACGGCTTGTTATTTTTGCAATGCATGGCGTGCCCGCTAAAACTTGTTTTATGCTGGTCGAGTCTTTATTTTCTATTTTAAATGTATTTGATAGAGTCCTAGGAGAGTCTGTATCGGAAATAAAGTACGGGCACGGGGACCAGGTGCAGCAGCTCGTGTCTTGTACCGTAAGTCCGAATTTGATATTTTTGTATAGACTTAGGATCAGACATATATATGCGAAGTCCTACGGCTTTTATTGTATTTACTGGATTTTGTTCCTGGTCCAGCGACATTTGACCTGTTTATATATTCTTTTGGGGTGCTTTCTTTCTCTTTTTCTTCTTGTGTGCCTTTGAATGTTAAAATGTTTTATATTGTTTCTTTTTGTGTATCTGAACCTCACGAAAATGCAACATAGGCATACTAAGGACCCTAAAATTTTAATTCTTTATATCTAAAAAAAATCATAATAATAAATGATTGTGATGATCAAAATCTTAGGATTAAAAGATTCAAGAATTTTCAAAATCAATTTTTTTTTTCTTGCATGGCCATCAAGTCGATTTTAAAATGGTTCACATGCAAGGCCATAACCCAATCATATTTAATAGAACCTCCACGCTTAAAAATGTGGTAGATAACTGCATCATACTTGCATGTCCCGAGGAGTAGCCACCGTGCTTCTCCAATCCGATTGACTCAACATAAATTCGCCTAGTTGGTTGTCTGGTGCGTGTAGGGTGTTAGGAGGCTTCTCAATCCAGACGAGATATAAGTTCTCTTGTTGGAGCATTTACAGCTTTGTAGCTGAACCTTTGCTTTCTCTTCCTTTCAGAGGCTTCCTCGCCACTTCGGTAGGTATAAGTCCCACCTCTTGGAGCTTCAGCTTTTAGTTATAGGATAGAGTTTCGCTCATTTTACCTCAAAGCTATTGAGATTCTTATGGGTGATGCAATTTACGGATTGCTGACCAGGGATCTCAGGTTGTGTTGGGTCGACTACCTTCACGACCAGGTAGACTTAGGGTCATAGTGGCTTGGGATGATGAGTTTGTGGTACCCCGACCTGATTACCTCTACCTCCTAGAATTACTCTTTCCTACCTTTTTGACTACCCTTGTTGAGCCACTGTTGCTCCTTTGACTTCGTTGATGTCACTTTGACGGTCTAATGTCGATAAGCTGCCTCCTTTTCGGGATACGACGATTTGTTCTCCGTCCTTACGATCCCGATGTGCTATTATGTATTGGATACCTCCGTTGAAGTGATTTATGGTCATTTCGTAGGTTTCGTAAGCTGAGAAGCCGCTACTCATTTGGACGTGGGAGATTCACTTTCCACCCGATGGCGCAGCGTAAGCTTCAAAGCATCCAGACCGTTCCATACGAAATAATCACCTTTTGATAATATATATCCCATGTTCATGATGATAAAGCGAAACTCCTTCCATCGAAAGTCTTCTTGGGTATCCCCCGATATGTAATTAACCAGTAGGGATACGTTCCTCTGGGAGACTTTTGACCCCAGAACAAAAAAATGTTCTTTTTGGTTATTTGGTTACGGGTGGCTTATATAGAGATTCTACTTGTGGATGTTGTTTTCGAGGTAATTCGATCTGATTCTTGTGTTTGTAAGCTTATCCTCATATACGAAGCTCATCAACTTTGATAAGCCGAGATGATTACATCATATTAGCTTGTCCTCATAAAATAGTTTTTCTTTTTCCCAAAATAAAAGTTCACTGTCAACTCATTCAAAGCTCGACAGCCCCTTCAGACGGGTATAGTTCAAAATTATTGACCTTAAACTCCTGTTCGAAATTGATTGGTGAAATTGATTTAATAAAATTATTTTAAAAAATAGATATATATTGTTAGATTCAAATCTGCACAACACACAAATTCTTGTGATTTAAAAAAGAGAAAAAAAAAGAGAGTTCAGATGTTCTACTCCACAATCCGAGCTTAAGAAAAATTTTCCTGTTCTACTCATTTTACTCGCAACCTAATCGCCCTTCCTCCGATCGAGGCGCAAGTGCCTCCTCTTTTTTCTTCAATCTGTTCTCACTGAAAGCTCTCTTCGCTCTTTTATTCGATTCACAAGAATTCCCCCTTCCTCCCACCGATTCGCAA